GGTTTTCTCTGTACAGGCTAGACTAGTCACTTCTATCATGAAACATATCTGGTAAGGTTTCCTCTATAAAGGCCAGACTAGCCACTTCTATCATGAAACATATCTGGTAAGGTTTTCTCTGTACAGGCTAGACTAGTCACTTCTATCATGAAACATATCTGGTAGGGTTTTCTCTGTACAGGCTAGACTAGTCACTTCTATCATGAAACATATCTGGTAGGGTTTTCTCTGTACAGGCCAGGCTAGCCACTTCTATCATGAAACATATCTGGTAGGGTTTTCTCTGTACAGGCTAGACTAGTCACTTTTATACTGAAACATATCTGGTAAGGTTTTCTCTGTACAGGCTAGACTAGTCACTTCTATCATGAAACATATCTGGTAAGGTTTTCTCTGTACAGGCCAGGCTAGTCACTTCTATCCTGAAACATATCTGGTAAGGTTTTCTCTGTACAGGCTAGACTAGTCACTTTTATACTGAAACATATCTGGTAAGGTTTTCTCTGTACAGGCTAGACTAGTCACTTCTATCATGAAACATATCTGGTAAGGTTTTCTCTGTACAGGCCAGACTAGTCACTTTTATACTGAAACATATCTGGTAAGGTTTTCTCTGTACAGGCTAGACTAGTCACTTCTATCATGAAACATATCTGGTAGGGTTTTCTCTGTACAGGCTAGACTAGTCACTTCTATCATGAAACATATCTGGTAAGGTTTTCTCTGTACAGGCCAGGCTAGCCACTTCTATCATGAAACATATCTGGTAGGGTTTTCTCTGTACAGGCCAGACTAGTCACTTCTATCATGAAACATATCTGGTAAGGTTTTCTCTGTACAGGCTAGTTTCTGTTGGCATGCTCAAATTGCTCTGCATCCATGATCCATCTGTTGTCTGTCTGCAAATATTTCTTGTTATCACTATTTCTGGAGAAGTTTATTTTATATAGTTTTCATTGAATGAAACTCTCATGGATTTAAGATAAGGTAATATTTATTCTCAACATTTTTCACATGCATAAATTGTTTTTGTAGGTATCTCCATATGGATTCTAAAGCCGAAATGAAGCTTAAAAAAGTCTACTTCTACTGGGTTTGTCCTGATACCAATTCCTTTGAGTGGATGCAGGAACTGCTTCAAGAGTTTGACCAGCAGCAAGGAGGCGTACCTGATCGGGAAAAATTTCTGCAATATTTTATTTATCTAACCCGGGGTTGGGACAAAAACCAGGTAATGTTCATGTGTGCTAGTCAACAGAAACTGTTTTACAGGTCAGCATGTAATGTGCTTCTTTAGAGACTGAGGGGGCAGGTCAATAGATATGTGTTTACTCTACAGACTGAGGGGACTTGTCATCGTAATGTGTTAATATGGTGGCTTAGAGGCCAGGTCAATAGGTAATGTGTTACTATAGAGACTGAGAGAGCAGGTCAACATGTAATGTGTTAATATGGTGGCTAGGGGCCAGGTCAATAGGTCTGTGTTACTCTACAGACTGAGGGGACTGGTCAACGTAATGTGTTACTATAGAGACTGAGGGGACAGGCCAACAGGTAATGTGTTACTGTGTAAACTGAGGGTCAGGCCAACAGGTAATGTGTTACTATGGAGACTGAGGGGGCAGGATGACAGGTGATGTGTTACTATAGAGACTGAGGGGACAAGCCAACAGGTAATGTGTTACTATGGAGACTGGAGGGGCAGGATGACAGGTAATGTGTTACTATAGAGACTGAGGGGACAAGCCAACAGGTAATGTGTTACTATGGAGACTGAGGGGGCAAGATGACAGGTAATGTGTTACTATGGAGGCTGAGTGGACAGTCAACAGGTAATGTGTTACTATGGAGACTGAGGGGGCAGGATGACAGGTAATGTGTTACTATAGAGACTGAGGGGATAAGCCAACTGGTAATGTGTTACTATGGAGTCTGGGTGGGGGGCAGGATGACAGGTAATGTGTTACTATGGAGTCTGGGGGTGGGGGGGGCAGGATGACAGGTAATGTATTACTATTGAGGCTGAGTGGACAAGCCAACAGGTAATGTGTTACTATGGAGACTGGAGGGGCAGGATGACAGGTAATGTGTTACCTTAGAGACTGAGAGGACAGTCATAAGGTAATGTGTTACTATAGAGGCTGAGGGGACAAGCCAACAGGTAATGTGTTACTATGGAGGCTGAGTGGGCATGTTAACAGGTAAATTGTTGCTATAGATACTGAGATAGCAGGTCAACAGGTGATGAGTTACTATGGAGTTTGGGGGATAAGAACAGGTCAACAGGTGATGAGTTACTATGGAGTTTGGGAGATAAGAACAGGTCAACAGGTGATGAGTTACTATGGAGTATGGAGATTAGAACAGGTCAACAGGTGATGAGTTACTATGGGGTATGGAGATTAGAACAGGTCAACAGGTGATGAGTTACTATGGAGTTTGGGAGATAAGAACAGGTCAACAGGTGATGAGTTACTATGGAGTTTGGGAGAAAAGAACAGGTCAACAGGTGATGAGTTACTATGGAGTATGGAGATTAGAACAGGTCAACAGGTGATGAGTTACTATGGAGTTTGGGAGATAAGAACAGGTCAACAGGTGATGAGTTACTATGGAGTTTGGGAGATAAGAACAGGTCAGTGAATGACATGATAGGTTAAAATCACCTGGTACTCTCTAGGGTTATGTGTTATTGGCAGGAGTAAAGGGATCAGCTGAAAGTTGTAAATAAGGTGGTGCTGATATTCATGACAGATTATCAAAAAAATATAATGGTACACTATTTAAAAATAATAATAGAAATCCAATTGATTTCTGAAAGGTAACTAAAACAACTAATAGTGCACACTTTTCAAGTACAATAGTTTTAGTGGCGTTTTAAGAACACGCCATATTGCACCAAAGAGAAACAATGTTACAAAAATTTTCTGAGGGAACATGTCCAGACACTGCTCCCAGGCTTAGATTGGAAGCTTTCCTTGACCACTCCCCCTCAGTGAGTGGATTAGATAGTAATGGATCAACATTCATACTAGTCTGACTACAACTCTGAGTGACATGCTCGAATGATGGTTTTCAATTTGGCATGAACAAATTCAAATGTCTCACTAATAAAACTATCAGGAGGCAAATATAGGAAAACTTGTGGTAACTTTTATTATCATTTTTGTTTCTATGAACATGGTTGAAATAAATTGAACATTAACCCAATCTGAAGAGATATTACAGAATAACTAGAGCTTACAGGTATGACAGACCAATTAAGTCTCTTTTTATGTTAAGATATTTTCATTGTCTTCAGTAGGTTGCTACCATCCTGTTGTTTCTTACTCTCACCTGATTGGTAAATAAATGCTATGTTTAGTCCAATGCAATTTAATATCAATGTAAGGTACTATCTTTTTTCAATATTATCGCTAAAGTCAAAGTGTGACCTTTCTTTTTACATGTCATTAAATAATTTAATTTACATTAAATGTGTTGTCTTGCAGGCCCAGAATATCATACTACATGAGAATGAGGATGAGAATGACCCAGTAACAGGACTGCAACAGAAAACACACTATGGCCGTCCTAACTGGAATGAAATATTCAGAGGTTTAGCTGCTGAAAACAAAGGGTAATTATCATATCTATGTGTTTATCAGTGAAGAAAGTTGATGTTGTAGAGCAGTAATTATTTGATATGTCTTTGCAAGTTTCATTATCAATTGAAGGTCATATAATAAGGTTTTTTATCAAGTGCATGTAAAAGCATATGGAACTTTGAAGGCGCTTATTCTTTGGCCTGTTTCAGGGAGATACAGCTGTCACCATTTATTGCTGATGAATGTAATCCCATATTTCAACATTTGCCTAATATTGATGTCTTAAGACTTTTGTTCTTGTTGTAAATAAGAGATTTATTAGCTTATTAGGCCACACATACATGTTTCTAGTTTCAGTTGTGATGATAACACTATGGAACATGTATATAGTTAAACTACTGGTCATTTTGTGCTTTTAGCTGGGATGGGTTTTACTATATTCAGTCTCTGAATAAATGCTTGAATACCATATAGGTAGATATTTATATAACATAAATCCAAATCTGATACATGAAGACCTTTAAAAGATGGTTCCTGTAAGTCTGAAGCATTTATTCCTAGAGTATGAGAGAATTGTAAAATTTTATTGACATTTCTGTTTCAGGACCAGTATAGGTACATTTTTCTGTGGTCCAAGCGGACTTTCAAACACTCTCCATCAAATGTGTAACAACCATTCAGATGCCAACGCAGGCACCAAGTTCTACTACAACAAAGAAAACTTCTGATGTGACATAATTCTCAGTATCATCAAAGAGCTGAACCACCAGTCCCTGTTGTGCGTCTCCTTAGTTTAATCACCAAGTGTTACTTGTCACCGGCAGCACACAGATTGTATCTATCCTATTTATATTTTCATTATATATCAATGTAGTCATATAAGTTCTATATAGTTTTGTCTTTTTGGTGTTTAATAAGTATTACTACTCGCCATTATTACCTGATCTTGTCTGAAGGACTGGTGAGCCTATGTCGTACCAGGGAGTCTGTCGTCGGTCAACTTTCGACAAGTTTTGAACAACTTAATGGATTTTGAACAAATTTGATCAGAAGCTTCCTTTTTACCTTTAAAATGCTTCTTCTGTAGGAAAAACAGGATTTTGTCCAAAATTGATCTGAAGCTTCCTTGAATGAAGGCGACTCTTTTGTATAAGAGAGGGTTTTGACCTCTCCATGGAACAAGAGGGTGGGACCCAATACGGAAAAAAGAGGAACCATTTAAATTTTTTTTCAATGTTTGAAAGAATGTACTTTTTCTTCTGGAATGAAGATATTTGTTGGAATTAAGTTTTAAGCTTCAAAATTCCTAATCTCTCGGGAAAATTGAAATAGTTGAGTGATAATGACCTAATGAACCTTTTTTTTTTAATGAAAAAATATAGTTGCAGGTCATTGAAGCCACCTTCGTGTATAAATGAGGGATGTAAATTTAAGTGACTATTTGTATAATTAGAAATGTCAGAGATACACATGAGCAGTGGCAGAAGAATTTTTTTATTTCAATTTTCCCAATGTAATTCTAACTTATGACTGGTGGTACATGTATATGACATCAGTGTCCAAGTTAGAGTAAGGGGGAAAATCCACCTGATGCTTTAAATCTGACTCTGACTCTTTATTGGATTGTTTGACTCGGATTAATATGAAAGAACATGTGCCATGTATTTTTATGAGATACAACTGTATGATAGTAACTGTACGTTATTATAAGATAGTTACTTACCCCTTACTGTTAGTAATATGTTAACTGAAGTTTTTATCTCATCTCCAGAAAAAGATGTGTACCCACAGACATGTTAAACTTACTGATGTTGGTTTAAAAAGGATTGTCAAAGTTCTGTTGAGAACAATCAACATTTTGCCAAAGTTAAAGAAACACCTTTTTAAGAAAATGGCTTTACTCAAATAGTAAATCATGTACTTCCTCTGAAGGATCAGATAGCTTTTGTAGATTTTAACTTATATCACTTCAAGATTTTACCTTATAACTCACAATACCCAATTATTTTGAGATAGAAACGGGCAGTGCCTGTGTCTACTAATACATATTTTACATTCACATGTACATTCCATATTTTATGCTGAATATTACAGAACTATGAATTCCAAGTACTTTTAGTTACAAGATAGAAAGTAATCTATTTGTTGTATGGGTAGATATGATTGTACATCTTCATGTTATGTTGCAGTTTACATTGGATGTAAATGATGTTTCCTGATCAAATAAAATGTTTTCAAGTGTCTGATGCCACCATTTTATTCAGCTTCAATGTAGAGGCCAATGTTAAAAACATGTCAAATTATCTACATTAACAAGCTGGTAGGAAGAAAACATGAAAAATGGAGTTACTTCCCCATAGATGTAAATGATACACATTTGTAGTTAAATTTAACAGACCAGTAATTGCGTTAACCGAGTGTGAGGGAAGAAAGGCCAGTTAGCTGTTTATTCATGTTGTATATGAATCATGTAGTAATGAACAGATTGGTACTTGATACCGTTGTTTTTGCTTTAGTGTACAAGGTGATTTGGGTTAGATTGCAGATGGTATCAATTAAATTTCAATCCATGACCTCCGAAGAGTTTAAATACAATGGTTGCCTTTAAATATTGTACTCATTACTTGCAGATATCAGACCAGTTTTCCTAAATTAAATGTTATATGCAAAACAAATGTGATAAATGTACTGGTGATCAAAGTCCTCCTTTATTGGTTTTTTGGGAAGCTAGACAAAACAAATGTGATAAATGTGATGGTGGTGTGTGATCAAAGTCCTCCTTTATTGGTTTTGTAGGAAGCTAGACAAAACAAATGTGATAAATGTGATGGTGGTGTGTGATCAAAGTCCTCCTTTATTGGTTTTGTAAGAAGCTAGACAAAATGAATGTGATACTGTGATGGTGGTGTGTGATCAAAGTCCTCCTTTATTGGTTTTTTGGGAAGCTAGACAAAATGAATGTGATAATGTGATGGTGATGTGTGATCAAAGTCCTCCTTTATTGGTTTTGTGGGAAGCTAAACTTGATCGTAACAACCTTATTATTCCAGAAGAAAATTGTTCATCATATTTCCAAAAGTGTTTGTTGTTATATTGATGTTTGATGCTCCCTTTATTTTCTTAATATTGGAATGAACATTATATTCTACAGATATATTAAATATCAATATTTAGGTATAAAATTATTTTGTTTGTATTAAATATTTATTACATTTTTTTACTTAATGATATTCATATTTGATAAATTTACCTAAGTACTCTGTTAATCTTCTCCACATTATATTATAATCTACATTTCCTTCAATTTGTTGATAGTGATGATTTTGTCACATGATTCTTATTATGAGCAACACAATGATGAATAATGTGTTTATTTTGGAGCAAGCTTGTGCTATAGGTACATCACTACTTCAAACAATACTTATTCATATGAATATTACAGTTGTTATATATAACTATATTCCTACATACTAAAGACACTTAAATGTCAGATATATTTCCTGGAAAATGTTTTTAAGATATTTGTTAGACTGTAATGCTCGGAAATAATTCTCACAAATATATGAATTGTGAATGCATGTTTACCCCAAATATCTCATAAAAAGTAAATCTGTGCAAAGATCCCTGAAATATAGTCATATAGAGAAGATCATTAATACGTACGATATCATCCATACAGATTTGGATAACTTTTTCTTCTGTACAAATCTGCTGTGTTTGGAGTGTACAGTATATGCTGTGTATCTGTGTGAAGCATACTTTGTGTAGCATATCTCTGTGGAGTATATTTTTTAGTTTGCTGCATATCTGTATAGAGTGTACATCATGCTGTATATATCTGTGAAGTGTACATTATATTGCATATTTGTGCAGAGTGTACACAGTATGCATACAGTTTATACTGTATGTGGAAAGTGTGTGCTCTAGATATATATGGAGTGTATAGTATTTACAATGTATATATGTGTGGGGTGTACACTAGATAATGTTTATGTGTGGAATATTTGATATACGTGTGGATTAATGTGGATTGTACACTATATTTGTGTGTAGTGTCCATAGCACATATATAAAGAGAGTGTGGTTTATGTATGTTTATACATAAAGGTATGATACACGAAAGAGGAATCCATCAAAGCTTCATTTAACACGAGCGAATATAGAAAATATTCCCTTCGGACTTTTGCATAATAAACACAAGTAAATACTCAAACTGTTACAGAGAATCAATAGATTCAACTATTTTACGTTATAGTAATGCTCATTTCTTTATATACGAATAATACATCATCTACCTGTTAGAGTAATAGACAGCTTAAATTAAACACTGAAATGTATGATGCATTAGTTACATATGTATGGATGATAGGTACAGGTACCTTATATGAAGAAAAAGATTTATATCAATTATATTTTTTGATATTTGTTCTGTTGTTTAATGATACATGTATTGTTATATAGAAATAAATTTTATGCATACATATCTTTGTTGTTTGTTTTTTTCATATAGATTTTAAACATGAACTCCTCAGGTTGTCAAATCCTGTTGTTATGACAAAGTAGTTTGAATGACTGTTACCAGTGCAACCATTCACAAAATGACATGGTGATACCCAGGATGATTATTAGACATTTTCAAAACAAATTCAGCTCTGTATCATAACCATTCACAATTCACCTAACTCACCATCATTATTCAAAATACTGAAAAATTATGTGTTCATATTCAGAAATCAACAGGAATTCTTCATACCCTAGTTCTCAACAAAGTTGCACTATAACTGCCATCTGAATTGATAAAGCGGGCCTTTTAGATCGCCCTTCATTTGTGATCATTCCATTAATTTCTCTCTGTCCATCTGTCTTGTAAAAAAAGATATTTCTTGTTTCAGATTTTTCTCAACAATTACTGAAACGTTTGTCTTAGCTTAGCAAAAGTGGTTTCCCCATTATGCACACCACATTTTTAACCTCATCCAAATTCAACTTGACCACTAGCAGTCATTTTGAATTTTGACATCCACAATTTGCTATTGCTGTTTATGAGCTACTGGTTACCTTTTACCTTGAAACATTATGGACATGTTCAATCTCGATTTGAAGTTTGTTGCATCCTTTAATTTTTTACCTGAGCAACCCCCGACACTAAAAAATATACACATTTATTGGGAATTCTTTTGAAAACTGCTAGACAAATATTTACAAAAAAATAAAGCTTCATTTCCAAAATACAAAAAAGCAGGTGAATATTTTTTGGCTTTCAGGCCAGTTTTATTTAATTAACATGAGAAACAGCATTACTTCTGCTATCTGATGCCCGATTTGATTGGAAATTCTCTGTGACCATAAAGCCAGCATTTCATGACCTCTAAAACTGTCTTTCTAGTACATGTATTGTATTTGAATGAATACGAATTACTATATAGTGGAGCTGAAAAAAGTGGCCTAGAAGAAAATATATTTCAAAACCAACTTTCAGTTTTAGTTAATACTGACTGTAACCAAATGATAGTACATGTAACACTTAAACTGATACCAGCTTATAAAAAAATTCTGGTTTCAAATTTTCTAATTAACATTGTATCAGCTGAAATCAAAGCTCAAGTATGTTTCTAATAGAAATCTTATGATGAAGTTCAATTCACAACATTTTTTCGGTTTCCACAACTACAAATTCACATAATTGATTTGCAGTTACCCAAGTTGAAGCTACTTCTTGTCTATAAGCATCTTAATAATTAAGTTCTTTCATAAATTACGAACAAACATAATTGAACTGTACTAAGTCCAAGCTCCTTACACTTCTAATGCAGGATCAATGGAAATTTCTTAATATTTAGTCCGTGAGTTTCATGTCCTTTGACATTCTATTTACCAACAGTCATTCATATTCGGCTCGCTTTTATATTCATTCTTTCAGGAAATTCCAAATTAGTGCAGTTTCAGCCATTATCTTTCTTCAATTTATCATTAAATATTTTGCTTCCTTGTTCTTTATGCAACTTCATCTCACTCTTTGCTCTTTTTTCCTGTAGCTTCTTGAAGTTTCTTTCTTTTCTTTGCATCTTCAACTTGGTTGCCTTCCTCAAATCTTCTCTGATCTCCTCTGCACGATTTTTATCAATATTTGCATAATATTCGATGGCTTTCTTCATATCTACTTCGTCTGGAATTTGTACAAATCTTACATTGACACCTTGCACGAAAAACTGGTCGAAGCTTGAGACCTTTCCCTTATAATTTCTGAAGCTCACATTAGTCATTGTCACATTCATGTAAGCATCCACATGCTCTACAAATCCCGAAACTGTGCTTTCATTTCTTAGTTCGACCGTTGTCACTTTTCCTTCGACTGCTTTAAGTAAACAAATGAGAGAATTTCTGATCTTATATCTCTCCCTGTCCGTGGCCATCCTTTGATAAAAGAATTATCAGCAGATGATATTTAGGTAGTGAAAGAGAAAGTACATCGCTCTCTTTGCAGTCGCTTATACTCTTCAAAAAACATTTTATTGGCGGTCGCAAAAAAAACGAAAAGTGAAACAACAATACAATTTAAACTATATTGATACAATTTTCAAGGTACTTTCAGGATATAAATATTAAATGTTTAGTTTAAATGTATCATATATATATTCATTCAAACTTGCCAACAGAATATCAATATTATTATTAGTTATTACTTAAGCGGTCTCCGCGGGAAATAGAAATGAGAATCTGCTGCTGCTGATTCGTCTGTTGCCAAATTGATTAGTGTTTATATGCTACTGAACTATCAGAAACATTCACTATGGCACTGAACACAATGCTTAATATGTGTGAAGGCCATTTACGTCTTGGAAAATTCGATATATGTTTGAATGAACTTGATAAAATCACAACTTCGAAACTTGATTCTCCAGACAAATGGAATGTTGAAAATAACAAGATGGTTACGGTGTTTTTACGGGTACAGATATAAATTGATACAATATCCCAACATCTTTCTTCACTAACAAGTTATTCATATCTAAGATTCATATAGATGGCTAGTTGATTAATGCTTGATTTTTGCATTTTTGGGGGAGGGGTCAGTTGCAAATGGGTCCAGGGTGCACTGGTTCATGGATCTATATAGATGCACACAGTTCACACATTCCATTTCCGTACAAGACAAGAAAACATTTAAGCTGCATAAACATTAATTATGCATTGTATAAGTTGTATCCAACAACAGTGACATTGTCTTTTTATCAATTTTGTTGTAGGATATTGAAAAGAATTGTGGTGTACTTGAGGACGGACTTATTAAATCTACTTCACAGCATTTTGTATCATTACTAAATAAAGTAAGAAGTAAGTAGTTTTTACCTATAGCCACATGTTAGTACACTATCTATCAGTTATTTGATTCTTTTCGTGGTTTTTTTAAGTGCAATAGGAGCGGGTTGGTGTAGTTTGTATACAGTGTTAAATACTATTTCCGTCACTCACCTGATGGAGCATACTTCTTTGGCTCAGTTGGAAGAGCTGGTCGATTATCACGCCAGAGACCCCGGCTTGATTATTGATCGGGGCAGGTGATAGGAATGTGTATTTTCTCTGTTCTTTCACATTGGCACCAAAGAAATCCCACAAGTTGTGGCATTCAGAGTCTTTGGCTGAGATTTAGGAAATCTCAAGAAAAGTGGGGGAGTAGTGTAATAGGAGCAGGCTGATGTGGCTTGTTCATAGTGTTAAATACTGTTTCCGTCACTCAGCTGATGGAGCATGCTTCTTTGGCTCAGTTTGTAGAGCTGGTGGATTATCACACCATAGATCTCGCTTCGATTCTTGGTTGGGGCACTCAAGAGGAATGTGTGTTTTCCCTTTTTTTTCACACAAGAATGAAATTGCAGATAGTCAGAATCCTTCAGACTACACTTTTATAGGTACCTTGTACTTTCTTTGTGGTAAAAATGTTAAGTTTTTTTATGCTCTTGGTCTATATATGTCATACTTTATATCAGTGACATTATAAATGACATACAATGATTTGCTGGACTCAAATATCCGGGTCCTGGGTTCATACTTTTTCCTGTGAGACTCATCCAAATTTTCAGAACCCACAATATCTTTTTGTACATGGACTCATCAAAATTTGGGAAATGGCACTCTGGGCTCACCAGAAAAATATGTAAAAAATTACTATCATACACAATAATGTTTAAAGATATACATGTATGTATCCTGTATTGTGCATAAAGTAAATGATTTGTGTATATGAGATACTGATTTTTGTAATTTCACTATTCTTGTTAAGAATATCCCAATTTTTTATCATACAAAACAATCCAGATTCCCCTTACAAATCTAAGATAAACACTGGTAAATCATCTTAGATCGTAGACCACATTGGATAAAAAATCATCACCTGTCGAAGTTCAAATGTAGGAATATTTATTTTATATTTGAGCAAGTTTGATAAGTTATAATTCTTTGTATTTCTATAATTACAGTTTTTAGCTCATTGATGGACAGACAGATCCAAAGAACTGCAGTTATACTTTTTAACTTGCAGGTCTTCCTGTCAGTGATAGAAGTGTTTCTGTAGAGATTACAGTTCTCAGTAACTACCTCATCCTCCAGTCACTTAGGTGTGCAGAGCATCTCCCAGTTCTTGTAGACAGTTGTATAAAACATATACGCAGAACTCTACTGAGAGGTGGGTACTGGGGCTGAATGTTTTTTTCAATTATTAAAAAAATTAAAAATTAGATTCACCGTAATGCTAGCGTGAATGGCCGATGATTAAAACATTCGAAATTTGTTTTATTATTATTTTGTTTTTATCTCCAAACTATCATATGTGACCGACGACTTTTACATACAACTATGTGAAGGGAGGTAATCCAATATGGCGGACACAGAAATTGGGAACGATAACCCCAAAATGGCATGTTCCTGCGTATAATGTGCACCCCCTTTTTGACACGACAGTTTAAGCTTGAAAAAGTGCACACTATGCGTGGAAATTTACGGTATAGAAATTGAATTAGGTGGTTTGCTTTAACAGAGTATTGCCAACTTACCTGATTGTTTTTTAAGTAAACCTTAATTATATCACAACCTGGATGAACACCATTTTACCCTTGATTTTAAAGGCTATGGATACTTAGATTGACCAGATTTGTGACTGCTTCATTCTCTATGTTGGCAACACTATTGTCATCCTCACTTATTAAACATATATAATTTGTTTATTTTCAGTTCTAAAACATCTTGGACAAGAAGAAGACAGTTGCTCTACATCGAATGCTGATTTTGAATGTTTGTTCGAAGTTATATTCAAAAGATGCTCTTTACCTGGTAATCTGCTTTGGTGCTTATAAATACTACACATAAAGCAATATCTGTATATCTGTTTTAGCTATATGACATAACTTTAGTCTATACTAAAATATTTCTTACTGAGAAGTTTAAGATGAAAATAATCCAGAATAAGAAAATTTGGTCCTACAAGTAGATAGATTGTCAAAATGATGTTTGTATTGGGAATTACAGGTGTCTTCACTGTATAAATAATTATATTTATTTCTAATGTATTTCATCGATAAACGAACACTTGTACAGAATAATATTAAGCAAGCTCGGTTTTCTATTTTTCAAAAACGTTAAAAGAATCTTTAAACTCATTCTTGGACATCTGGCCTTTTCCCCTCAGAATTGCCTGTGAATACAACTGACATTGTGTCATTGTGTTGTATCTGTTCTGTCCTACTGAATGTGGCTGGTGACATCTCAAAGGCAATATCCTGCCTTTCACCTTGTCCAGTGCATCTTATACAGGTGGGCTATATTCATATGGCATTGACCTTACTTATTTGAAGCACATACTGTTAACCTGACTGTTCCATTCTTTAGATGACAGTTGATGGATGTTAAATATGGTATTTTCTATAAGGTGTTTATCTTCTATGTCATAGAAATAAAGCTGGTTTAAGGGTTTTCTTTAGATACTGTCTTTTTCTTCAAATATAAAGACACCTACAAGTAGTTCATAACATTTAAATTATAACTCTTGTTAAATTAAGTTTATTTATAAAATTTGTCCACTATATTTGACATTTACACAGATTGACCAGACCTGTGGATTATTTATAATTCCATTCCATCTAATGTTGACACCAAGGACAGTTTGTGGCACTGACTGGGTAACATCTGTTACTGATAAAGTACACCTCCTGATGGCAATGTTCATGTTCTCAATGCCAGGCAAGCAAGAACAAAGCAAACTTGTCCTGCAAAATGTGACTGAGACACATTGGTATCCCTATACCAAATATATGTTGGGTAAGTGACAGGAACACACTGGTATCCTTATACCAAATATATGTTGGGTAAGTGACAGGAACACACTGGTATCCTTATACCAAATATATGTTGGGTAAGTGACAGGAACACACTGGTATCCTTATACCAAATATATGTTGGGTAAGTGACAGGAACACACTGGTATCCCTATACCAAATATATGTTGGGTAAATGACCGGAACACACTGGTATCCTTATACCAAATATATGTTGGGTAAGTGACAGGAACACACTGGTATCCTTATACCAAATATATGTTGTTTAATTGACAGGAACACAATGGTAGTCTTATACCAAATATATGTTGTTTAAGTGAAAGGAACACACTGGTATCCTTGTACTAAATTTATGTTGGTAAGGGGTAGGGACACACTGATACCAAATATATGTTTGGTAAGTGGTAGGAACACATTGGTAGTCTTACACCAAATATATGTTGGGTAAGTGACAGGAATACACTGACACTCCCATAACAATTCTATGTTTGGCTGATGTCAGAAAAGCACCTACATTTCAATGTTGAAATCTGATTTTGCAGAAATAACAAGAAGCTCTTTGGTTGAAATGGTAAAATTGTATGGGAAATGATAACTTTTGATTAGTTGGACATGTTTATATAGTGCTTTGTTTAACATTTTCAACAGCTGTTTGACTTGTGTTTAATTGCTTTCTGAGATTAAGCTTATCAGGAGGATGATCATAGTGCTAAGGAATGAAATTGTTTTGTTGATCAGTCATCTGACAATGAAAACTGATATTACATCATACAACAATCAAAATTGAGATAACTTTTTATCATATTAACGTTGCATATTTTATTTGAATTACCAATCTAGAACCTGTTCTACAATATGCTGGAATATCTGTATGCATGAGTGTGTTTGTCTTCTGTACAGCGTGCCTGGAGTATGAAAATGGCAATTATATTGATGCATTGATGCTGCTGGGGAAAGCTGCAAACACGGTAGTGGTGGACAATGTCAAATTAAAGTCTCTTCATTCCAGTCTCATAGGAGCTTGCTTCTCAAAACTGGTATGCAATGAGTATGAACAATATTAAGTTGTGGACATGCCACTAATATGTAGTTTGATGGCACAATAGTAACACACTGCAATCTGAACAAAAAAGAGTGATTCTGGTGATTGCTTGTTTTGCTATTGATGTAGAATTAAAAAAAAAATGTTTATGAAGGCTGACCCGAAGGCCCCAACAAAACCTTGGCAGTCTGCCAATATAATCATGAATAAATGTTTTGTGAAAAAAGAATAAAATTTGTAAATTTGTATTCAGCTTGAGGATTTTTTATAACAATTTCATGTTTTTAGTTATTTCTTTAAAAACAAAATTTAAGAAGAGAATTTCTTTGAAAAAAATTTGTATTCATGATAGAGGTAGGTAATTAATGGATGACATTGCACAAAATTTTTTATTGAAAACCAAATTCTACTTGTTAGATGTGTTGTTATGTTTTGTTAAATTTGTGTGGTGTTATATAACTTCAAAGGTATTTAGTTTTCAGTACATCACTTTATCAAATTAAGCTAGTGATTGTTTATGTACATATTTTTTTCTTTAAAAAAATTATTGAATTATGCTAGAATGAAAAATTGTGATATATCGTTATTTACCTCCCCAGGAAAACCACAATATATGTGTATCCCATCCTTAATAACAAGAGGTTAAAGTTATTTAAAATGTGAAATTTGCTGGAGTAAAAAAAGAAAGAAGTAAAAGAAAACGAAAAAAAAGCTTGGTACAGATAAAAAAAAGACAAGAAAGCATGGTGCGATATGAATACCACAGTAATGTTCAAGTGATTTTGATAAATGTCAGTTATGAAATGAAATGGTACATACATGAAACTTTATTGATATTAGATCAAAACATATTTATAGGAAGGAAACAAATTCTCTAAAGCTCAATGAATTCATTCTTAAATGTCTGATTATTAGGATAAGGACCACTCAACCCAGTTATTTAATAGAGTATGAAAAACATCCCTAGCCACAAATAATTGTAATCTGGAATCTCTTGATTAAGTGAAGGGTATGATGTATAATAATCAGTGATATGACAGTATCATGGAAACCAAGGTTTTGTTCTGTTGTTTAGAATAAGCATCACTGTGCCATAGAGAAGTACAAGGAGGCCCTCATACAGGATTTCAGCTACCTCTGGCCACTATACTGTCTGTCCCAAGAATACCAGAGTCTTGGTCTACATGACGCTGAGCTGGAGTCTCTCAATCTCCTCATTACTGTAAGTATGTCTCTTCAATCTTCATGGTACTGTTTGTATGTCTCCTAAGTCTGCTCATGAACATTTGTCACATTTATTTTTTGTAGCTATCCTATGAAGGTATTGATTTTTAAGGCCTTGTTACTGTATGTCCCCTCAATATCCTCATAGCTTTATCTCCTTTCAACATCCTGGCTAATTGTCTTATGATTCTTCTATCTTGAAGGCTTTGGAAAATGAGAAGCAGGAAGAGAGACAGTGTTTGCTGCATCGCTGCCTGAGTCCTTGTCACCAACAGATCACACTCATCCAGGCCCAATATCTGCTAGCAAAACGCTGTCTGCAGCTTCAAAAGTAAGTGTGACCAGGCCCAGTATATACTGGCCGTGTACAGTCAACATCTTATATGGTAAGTGCGACCAGGCCCAGTATATACTGACTGTACTGTCAACATCTTATATGGTAAGTGTGACCAGGCCCAGTATATACTGGCCATGTACAGTCAACATCTTACATTGTAAGTGTGACCAGGCCCAGTATATACTGGCTGTCTACTGTCAACATCTTATATAGTAAGTGTGACCAGGCCCAGTATATACTGGCTGTGTACTGTCAACATCTTATATATATGGTAAGTGTGACCAGGCCCAGTATATACTAGCTGTCTACTGTCAACATCTTATATGGTAAGTGTGACCAGGCCCACTATAAACAGCAAGACTAATGACAACATAGAAAATGGTAAGTGCGACCAGGCCCAGTATATACTGGCTGTGTACTGTCAACATCTTATATGGTAAGTGCGACCAAGCCTAGTATATACTGACTGTGTACTGTCAACATCTTATATATAGGGTAAGTGTGACCAGGCCCAGTATACTGACTGTGTACTGTCAACATCTTATATATAGGGTAAGTGTGACCAGGCCCAGTATACTGACTGTGTACTGTCAACATCTTATATATAGGGTAAGTGTGACCAGGCCCAGTATATACTAGCTGTCTACTGTCAACATCTTATATAGTAAGTGTGACCATGCCCAGTATATACTGGCTGTGTACTGTCAACATCTTATATATATGGTAAGTGTGACCAGGCCCAGTATATACTGGTTGTCTACTGTCAACATCTTATATTGTAAGTGTGACCAAGCCCAGTATACTGACTGTGTACTGTCAACATCTTATATGGTAAGTGTGACCAGGCCCCGTATACTGACCGTGTACTGTCAGCATCTTATATGGTAAGTGTGACCAGGCCCAGTATACACTGGCTGTGTTCTGTCAACATGTTACATGGTAAGTGCGACCAAGCCCAGTATACACTGGCTGTGTTCTGTCAACATGTTACATGGTAAGTGCGACCAGGCCCAGTATATACTGGTTGTCTACTGTCAACATCTTATATTGTAAGTGTGACCAAGCCCAGTATACTGACTGTGTACTGTCAACATCTTATATATATGGTAAGTGTGACCAGGCCCAGTATACACTGACTGTGTTCTGTCAACATGTTACATGGTAAGTGCGACCAAGCCCAGTATATACTGGCTGTCTACAGTCAACATCTTATATGGTAAGTGCGACCAAGCCCAGTATATACTGGCTGTCTACTGTCAACATCTTATATTGTAAGTGTGACCAGGCCCAGTATATACTGGCTGTCTACTGTCAACATCTTATATTGTAAGTGTGACCAAGCCCAGTATATACTGACTGTGTACTGTCAACATCTTATATATAGGGTAAGTGTGACCAGGCCCAGTATACTGACTGTGTACTGTCAACATCTTATATGGTAAGTGTGACCAGGCCCAGTATATACTAGCTGTCTACAGTCAACATCTTATATATATGGTAAATGTGACCAGGCCCAGTATATACTGGCTGTCTACAGTCAACATCTTATATGGTAAGTGTGACCAGGCCCAGTATACTGACTGTCTACAGTCAACATCTTATATGGTAAATGTGACCAGGCCCAGTATATACTGGCTGTCTACAGTCAACATCTTATATGGTAAGTGTGACCAGGCCCAGTATACTGACTGTCTACAGTCAACATCTTATATGGTAAGTGTGACCAGGCCCAGTATATACTGGCTGTCTACTGTCAACATCTTATATGGTAAGTGTGACCAGGCCCAGTATATACTGGCTGTGTACTGTCAACATCTTATATGGTAAGTGCGACCAGGCCCAGTATATACTGACTGTACTGTCAACATCTTATATGGTAAGTGTGACCAGGCCCAGTATATACTAGCTGTCTACTGTCAACATCTTATATGGTAAGTGTGACCAGGCCCAGTATATACTGGTTGTCTACTGTCAACATCTTATATGGTAAGTGTGACCAGGCCCAGTATATACTGGCTGTCTACTGTCAACATCTTATATTGTAAGTGTGACCAAGCCCAGTATACTGACTGTGTACTGTCAACATCTTATATATATGGTAAGTGTGACCAGGCCCCGTATACTGACCGTGTACTGTCAGCATCTTATATGGTAAGTGTGACCAAGCCCAGGAGATACTGGCTGTCTACAGTCAACATCTTATATGGTAAATGTGACCAGGCCCAGTATATACTGGCTGTCTACAGTCAACATCTTATATGGTAAGTGTGACCAGGCCCAGTATATACTGGCTGTCAACAGTCAACATCTTATATGGTAAGTGTGACCAAGCCCAGGAGATACTGGCTGTCTACAGTCAACATCTTATATGGTAAGTGCGACCAGGCCCAGTATATACTGACTGTACTGTCAACATCTTATATGGTAAGTGTGACCAGGCCCAGTATATACTGGCCGTGTACAGTCAACATCTTACATTGTAAGTGTGACCAGGCCCAGTATATACTGGCCGTGTACAGTCAACATCTTATATGGTAAGTGCGACCAGGCCCAGTATATACTGACTGTACTGTCAACATCTTATATGGTAAGTGTGACCAGGCCCAGTATATACTGGCCATGTACAGTCAACATCTTACATTGTAAGTGTGACCAAGCCCAGTATACTGACTGTGTACTGTCAACATCTTATATATAGGGTAAGTGTGACCAGGCCCAGTATATACTAGCTGTCTACTGTCAACATCTTATATGGTAAGTGTGACCAGACCCAGTATAATGACCGTGTACTGTCAACATCTTATATGGTAAGTGTGACCAAGCCCAGTATATACTGGCTGTGTACTGTCAACATCTTATATTGTAAGTGTGACCAAGCCCAGTATACTGACTGTGTACTGTCAACATCTTATATATAGGGTAAGTGTGACCAGGCCCAGTATACTGACTGTGTACTGTCAACATCTTATATGGTAAGTGCGACCAAGCCTAGTATATACTGGCTGTGTACTGTCAACATCTTATATGGTAAGTGTGACCAGGCCCAGTATATACTGGTTGTCTACTGTCAACATCTTATATGGTAAGTGTGACCAGGCCCAGTATATACTGGTTGTCTACTGTCAACATCTTATATATATGTAAGTGTGACCAGGCCCAGTATACTGACTGTGTACTGTCAACATCTTATATATATGGTAAGTGTGACCAAGCCCAGTATACTGACTGTGTACTGTCAACATCTTATATTGTAAGTGTGACCAAGCCCAGTATATACTGTGTGACCAACATCTTATATATATGGTAAGTGTGACCAGGCCCAGTATATACTGGCTGTCTACTGTCAACTGTAAGTACTGTCAACATCTTATATGGTAAGTGTGACCACGCCCAGTATATACTGGCTGTGTACTGTCAACATCTTATATGGTAAGTGTGACCAGGCCCAGTATATACTGGCTGTCTACAGTCAACATCTTATATGGTAAGTGTGACCAGGCCCAGTATATACTGGCTGTCTACAGTCAACATCTTATATGGTAAGTGTGACCAGGCCCAGTATACTGACTGTGTACTGTCAACATCTTATATGGTAAGTGTGACCAGGCCCAGTATATACTAGCTGTCTACAGTCAACATCTTATATGGTAAGTGTGACCAGGCCCAGTATACTGACTGTCTACAGTCAACATCTTATATGGTAAATGTGACCAGGCCCAGTATATACTGGCTGTCTACAGTCAACATCTTATATGGTAAGTGTGACCAGGCCCAGTATATACTGGCTGTCTACTGTCAACATCTTATATGGTAAGTGTGACCAGGCCCAGTATATACTGTTAGCCCAACATCTTATATGGTAAGTGTGACCAGGCCCAGTATATACTGGCTGTCTACAGTCAACATCTTATATGGTAAGTGTGACCAGGCCCAGTATATACTAGCTGTCTACAGTCAACATCTTATATGGTAAGTGTGACCAGGCCCAGTATATACTAGCTGTCTACAGTCAACATCTTATATGGTAAGTGTGACCAGGCCCAGTATATACTGGCTGTCTACAGTCAACATCTTATATGGTAAGTGTGACCAGGCCAAGTGTAGAGTAAAATCTGCGATGTATCTTAATCATGTTAACATATTTTCATACCTGAGAACAATGAAAAGTACTTTTTAGGGCTTATATTGTAAAAAACCAATTCTATATGTAAATTAATTGATGCATTGGAAAATTTTCTGTCAAAAATAAGTCTGGGATATCCCCAAATTTGATATGTATTCTTTTAATATTTTCTATATTACTTAAAAGTTCAGAAGTGCAGTAATTAGATTTTTTTGATTTTTTTTTTTTTCAGATTTGATGCCGCTTGTCAAAAATATCTTGACTTATTAAGTTGCTTGCATCAGATTGATAATTTTAAGGTAGGCATTTATGATTTATTGATCAAATTGAGCAAAAGTCATGTGATTTAAAAGAGCTAGAATTTTCTGGAGAATATTTACCTTATTCATAGCAACATTTCATATATTCTTGTCACCAAAACCTCATCGAGTCATGTCTAATTGGCCTCTCTGTATGGAGTCCTTTTATATTGTTTTTCTTCCCCTGTTCTAAACAGTTTTATTAACTGTAATAAAAAGGGTGGCTACCGTGATCCAATGCTTTTTCATGATTTGTGTTTTTCTTTGCTTGGAACATTTTACAGTTTTGCACCAAATGTTGAAAGGTAAGGTTTTGTGGAAATTTTAATTGTTGATAATGTTTCTAATTAATGAGATTGATTGAATACAAAATTCTTTAAAAGGTAGATAGCTTTCTTTAATTAATAAAATTTGTTTGATACAGGCAGGAGGTAGCAGTGAGGTGAGATTACCATCAGTAGTACAGATATATCAGGAAGTTGAGTATTCCTTACTCCATGCCAAGCTTTACACAGACTGTATCACTGTCTGTGATAGAGTTCTCTCATGTGATGCTCAGTCTCAGGGTCTCTCAGCTTACCATAGTGACCAGTCACAAGACCAGTCAATGTTAAGCTCACAGATGTTTCAAAATACCCAAACTTTTCATTTGTCTGGGTCACAACAAAGGAAGAGGTTGAGGTCTGACAGTGGAGAGTTGTCTGCTCCTGTTGCTAAGGAAGACACCAGGAGCGTTTTGTATAAGGCTGATGCCCTAGTACATCTGGGACAGTTAGAGAGTGCTGCCATCTGCCTAGAAAGGTGAGATTTAGATGTTCGTAATAGCCTATTTAATATAGTATATTCACAATTTTATTTGTAATATTTTCTTGTCTCATCCAAGGGTTGACACCAGGGATTCCTTTTTCATAACTTTGACGTCATGTCAACTCAGCAAAGCATTGGGCACAATGAGAGAAAAATGAAAAAAACCTTTCTCCACCTGCATGCATACCCACTACATTCAACACTGGGACAAACAGGGCTTCCATACATTTTTTTATAATTTTAAATGCACAATCTAGACTACATAATTACATATTCAACAATCAAGTATGTACTGTATTCGATCCAATAAGCGCCCTGGGTGCTTAAAAAAATTGCAATTAAGGGGGGCGCTTATTAGAGACTATCTTAGATGTAAAAGAAACACATTCAGTACTAAAAAATCTGCCTCCACCAGGAACTTTCCGTCTCCTTTTTGAGGTGTTTTGTAAAGAGGTTTTCAATTCACTCTCTTTTTGTCTCCAATCGCAAATTCGCTTCCTATCTCTACTGTACTGCTTTGATGCTTTGCTGTTTCCCCATTCCTTGGCAAACTCCACAACTTTTAACTTGAAAGAAATTCCATACGACTTGATGCGGCCCCCTTTGTGAGATTGTGATGTGTCTGTGGTTGCCATAATTTTAGTGTCAACCTCTATGTAACAAGGTGCACTCTGTCATTATGTGCTCGTCGATAAATTGTTTCAGAACATCTTAACATGATGACACAAAAGGGAATTTATTTATGATAAAGATATAAAATTCCATTCATACTTGCCTGTTTTAGCACAACTATTTTATTTGTCATTTGATATCTAACTGCTTCATTTGTTTCTGTCAGATAATCTATCACACATGAAAATATTATTTCTTAATCTGCTGTATCAATGGTCATCTTACCTGTTAAATAATGGACTATGCCTATTCAGTTGTTGTTACTGGGCTGAGCACGCGTCACCAAGGTACACAAGGTAAAGGTCATCTACCACGTGGTTTAGGAATGTGTGAAAAAAATGTCTTTTACGTATGAATATCCATCTGTGGTCAGGGTATATCATGTTTATAGAGAGTGTTGGAAACAATTCATAAGGCAGTGCCTTGATACATTCATAAGACCTTTCACTATGACTTCACGAAGTCACGTGAGTGAATGGTCTAATTGAGGATAATAATCCGTTTGCAATCAGAGTTGTGAAAGAAGGGAAAACAGTGGGTCACATTCCAAGTGAACTGTCAGAAACAGCTATTTTTTCATCAGCCATGGTCGGAAAATTGTGTTAGTAGTTACAGAGGACACTTATCTACATTCCTCTGTTGCTGGTGGACTGAAAATTAACTGTTTTTTTTACGATTTCTTGAGTACATCTCCTTATTAACTGACTTAAAACACTTCTTGATCGTGACTAAAACGTAAGTAAATCAAGACTTTTAGATATCTGTAGGGGGGAGGGGGCACTTATTGGGTCGAATACGGTATTTATAGTCCATATACAATAGTAAATGTACATGATTTATAAAATTGGCATAAAACAAACAACATAAGTATCACTTATTCCACCTAAATGATAAACAATGGTCAGGACTGACCGGAGCCCACAGATACCTAGATCGTTAACCCTGTGATATTATAATACAATACATTAATACCAACTAAAACAGAATGGAGAAAGAGTGAAAGTTAAGTTACCACAGTCTGTCCTCTTTGTCTGATTCACATGTCTTATAAGAGCAATAAATTCATATCAAATACACAAGGCAAATACACAAAGTTACCGTAAACAGCTCACCTCATGTATGTCTATCCGTGACATATTTCTGTCCAACAGTGGTGCTGAACAATTAAGGATACTTACCCTGGTAATAATGATAATGACAAGATACATATATACAACCATCTAAAAATACTACCAACAATATACACGCTTACGTGACAATCATCATGATTATAACATGTTATAGGCGAGGTTTGCTGTTCTCGTATGTTTATGATATCTCATTCTATAAACTTAAATCATCACTACAAACATGTCTTGTGTGGGGTACATCAGACTGCAGTAATGTTTAGCCTAGGATTATCAAATCAGCTTTATGATGAGTATTAGATCACTCACACCTTTGCTCTGAAGATTAATCTTTCGTGAAGATTATGTGGCTTGATGCCTGTACTTTATTCCATATTTGCATTTTCAGATTAGAGGAACCTTTGTCTCCCTGTAACATTGACACTCCATCATCTCAGGAAAGTGATGCAGGGTCAGAACCTCACAGCAAAAGAAAGAGACTGGACTCGGATGGCACTGCAGTACCATGCAAGTGTCCTCCACACAGTGGACGTCTTCCACTCCTTTCAATCAAGCGTACAGCTGCCGAGGTGTACAACCATTTAGCAGTAGCCAAGTCTCAGAGTCAGAATCATAAAGATGCATTACATTACTTTAGAGTCAGTCTTCAACTTCATCCAGGTAATTAAAATGATAGCGTGTGTAATGTGATATAGGAGGCCAGTTCCTTTACACTTCATATGTACAATAATACAAAACTGGTACATAACTCTTACTTCTATTACAGAAATCTGTATGCTTTGTGATAAAATTTTCAATATCACATTAATTAATCACCAAAATTTAATCTGAATCAATTTCAAATCTGAGGTTTTTTGATACTTGCCAGTTTTCAGCCCATCATTTAATTGTAGCTGTAGTACAGTAAGGTTTTCCTTTACCTTTAACATGTTTATTAGCACTTTTCCTGGTACAGCTTATCAAGAAAGTTTGTATCATACTAGGGTTGAGCTCAGTGAAAACCCTCGTCATAATGCATACCTGATGATTTTTCAACAGTGCAAGATGTCAGTTTTTGAGTTTGAAATCCAATAGCTTCACTCTCAATGATCATACAAACTTGACCAATCATTGATATCTTTCCTTTGAATATTATAAAGGATCTACTCCGAGCTTGCCAATGCTATTTTATGAATGTTAGATAATCATATCAGTGATACTTTGTCTCTATTTCTTGGGATTTCTGGAAGGAATCAGACAATCTGTATGTTAAACAATTATACATAATATGTTTGTTTCTTTTTTCTTTTTTTTAAAGACAATGAAACTGTTATGTACAACTTGACCATTGTGCTGCGGTTAGTACAGAGAGAGCGTGAGGGTGCGACCACCTGGATTAAGTACAGGCACCTAGGTGTTGGATCAGACAGCTTTCAGCAGGCTAATATTCTCAGGAGGAAGAAACAACAGCTCAGGTTGATACTTTATACTAAATATCATCTCATTATCCACAAGCAACAAGTTGCCTAGCAACGCTTCTGCCTCTGTGTACTTGTATGTGTATGTCAACATATGTGCTCTGTTCTGGAAAAAATCAGTTAACCGATTTTGATGGAACTTCACACAACTCTTCCTTACATTATACTTCAGATTTTGAAATGCCATAGGTACCAGAGGACAAGGTCAGCTAAATATGTGTAGTATGTGATACTCTCCTGTCTACTCCTATGAAAAGTGAAAAACCATTCTGTTATCAAGCTTTTGTTCTATTGATGATTTTTTTGACAGATACAAATCCAAGAAAGTAACTTGAAAGCAAAAAATCAATATGTTGCTGCACTACTATTTCCAATAGAGGCATCAGAATGGGTAACAGGAAATGGTTAATTTTCACTTTGCATTTGTAATTTTTGTTACTTTTGCAGCACTTTTTTTAGTAATGAATTTTTGTCTTTCTAATTGTATGTAACTTGAATATTATAAAAAAAAACTAAAATAAAATGAATAATTTTCATTTGAATTTTTGAATTTGAATTAAATCTTTCTGAATGTGAAAAATCAAGTCAACATCAACATGTCCTTGTATTTTGGCAATAGCAAATCTAATCACACTGTGCACATTAATAAAGATTTTATTTTTGGTGTTGGTGTTGAATAAAGGGTGACTGGTCAGTAATCAGGGCATACAACAAGGGGGAGAACTCTGCAAACTCTGTTGAAGACAGCTGTAATGAGATCATTTCCAGATGTGATGATGTAACACTCTATGACCTTGGACAACCTAGAAGGTCATCTAAATCTACAAACATTAGGCAGTTTTTTACTTTTATCTAAATAATTATCTATAAAATAAAGAAAATTTCTTGAAAATTGTTCAATAGAAGGAGACCGCATATTTGTAATATGTTCATTGGTATAACAATGAAAATCCAAAACATTATGTAGGAATTACAAGTTTTTTTTTGAGGGTTCACAATTTCACATATAACCCAGTATACGTACTGAAAATGCTCACTCTACAGACTCTTTAGTTTTGAAAGTGGTCTGTAATCCTATTTTCAGGATATACATTGCACTGGATTTCACCCTATTTTTCTTAATTGGAATCAGAAAAATAACTGATTAGGAATCAAAATCATTATGGAATCTACAAGCTACACTATCCACTGACCTGACTGGTAGTATAATTGTCTATACATTGACCTTTCTGATTGGTGGGTTATCAAAATCAAGTGATATCTACACAGAAGTGTAACTGTCCATCCACTGACTTTACTGGAAGATTATCAAAATCTTGTGAAATCTGTAAAGAAACTTTTCATGCCTCTAAATGACATTCTAAGGTTTATCAAAAGAAATAACATCTACTGCTGTTGGCATTTTTATTTGTACTATCAGAGTTAAGTGGTATCTATATTGCTTTGTTGGGATGTGATATCCTGGTGGTATTCACAACTGGTAGATTAGCAAAGTTAAGGGAAATCTAGGGCTTCCTTATCAAAATCTTGTGACGTCTACCATAATTGACTGATAGTTATCTAGATTTATTGACATCTTGTTATTCACTTAACAAGACATTAGATTTAATGCTCCATTACTACAGCATATTAAGCACACTGTCTAAAGAATTTCACAAGTGGGAGTGCCCTGTGGCATGTACAACACAGCCATTACATGTCCAAGTTACAGGTATATAGACAGGTTTAGCATCCTCCTCCTGTAATTAACATGTACTCTGATCTAGGCGGGACAATGGCCTCAGGTCAACTGTTTTTTCTGTCATAATGTCAGTTTGCTATTGACTGTTACATCTCTGACTCAACAGAAGATCATAATTATGTATCAGTGTATTGACCTCTGGTTCTCACAGGTGCTTGTTCTCATTAACAACAACTATGATTCCTCAATCCCATCACAACATTATATTACAAATATTTGTTTCCATCCTTGGGCCTGAAATGTACATAGATAACTACATGTATCTAAACATTATGTGACAAAATTTTATAGAAGTATATGATGTGGCCAACATAAATTTAAAATCTCAGTTTTGGAAAGATATCCTATATCAAATTACTCCTTTTTTTGTTCATTTGTCATTTGAAAATCTATTGGACAATGTTTAATGTTACTAAGTTCTTGCCAAGTTTCAAAAGCAGCCATAGAATAAATTGCCAAAATTCCATGACAAAGTTAGTGTTCTTGCTGGCATCCAACTGCAAATAGCTGTTATCTAGACTAGCACTGCAATTATTTGATATATGAGCAATAAAAGTGACCTTGACCTTGAAATATGAGGGTGACAGACTTTGTTGAAGTGATTGACCTTGGACTTAGCTATTGATTATCACACACATCCTGTTACCCATGTGGTATAAAGTTCTATTTCATCATAGGTACGTACAGATGCCATGGTTGTTTTACTGTGGGTATAATTCTAGTGGAAATTCTTTCGTTTCAGCCTTTTACACAGGAAAATACTTTATCATTTTCAGTATCATCAAAGGTGTGTTGTAAGATAAGGTGTTCTCAACAACATGTCTGGTCTGGTTGAGTAACAAAGAGGGATGTTTTATCAGTGGTGGCGTGTTTAGAGGTTAACAGGTCATGCTGAATCCTGTTTAGCATGTGAATGTGTGAGGATGATGACCCATCATCACTTCCTCTGATTCAACAAGGAAACAATCAAGTTTTATAATAACTTGTTTTGCTTGATTAAAATGGTTTTAATCAGTTCAACTAATGATTCTTTTTCCTTTAGGTAAACTTTTGGTATAGGTGAAATTAGACTGATGTGTGCAGGTTTAGTGTGTGTAATGGCTGTATATAACTTTTGGGAATCCAAATTATTTTCATATTTTTCACTGCTGTAAAAATTTTACCTATGTCCAATCAATACTACTTGAAAACCCTTTAAACAGGAAATAGATTGGTGTGAAGAACATGAGAGAATCAGCAATGTGTTTGCAGGTATGCTTGTCCAAGACTCTGACTAAACCTTGGATAAGGTCTATGTGTACAGCAGGCCTCTCGATCAATCATCATTGTATGTCACTATACCTGATTGTTTCTTGACCAGTGAATCAGTAATTCTCTAACCTTATAATGTGATACATATATATGTATGACAGTAATATGTAGTTAACAGATTTACTGGAAATACAACTTTCAAAGTATAGATCAACATTAGCCTTGGGTTCCTTTTAACCTCGGGACATGGAAGGTGTTCAAGGATGAAATATAGACATTTTGATATTTTTAAAGCTGAAGTATAGGAACTGGACTTCATTTACCTTTGTCTTATTTTGGCCTACACTGTGAAAAGTTTAGACTGTTTCCATCATTTCCTTGTTGTGTCTGCTTCTCTGGGAATTACAGTAGTTTTATCATTAGGCCTATTTGATAGACCATTAAATCATGACTACCAATCCATCATAAGTATTTGTAGCATTCTCATTCAGATTTGTAGCCAGTTGGTTGTTGGGATTATGCCCATCAATCATCCCTGTCATCATTTATGTTATCTCAATGTCTAATTCAGGACAGTGTAACTTGGGACAAGGGTCAAGGTCACTTTATATCAAGGGTAAGGTCATTGTATCATGTATGTGTATGACCCTTAAGATATTTAGGTAATAATGAATGAAGATTTGAAAACACAAGATCTATATCAGATCAGTGTTTTAGTTCAGATTTTTTTTTGTAGTATGGATTCTTGGTCTAAAACCTATACACAACATATAGTGTCCATTCTAGACCCTGTCTGTGATGGAAGGGTTATTTAAACCTTTGATGAGTAGGGTACTTTGTTATCTGTTCCTGCCCTACTTACATTTTGACCCCTGGAGGACAGTGTTATCAGGTGTATTAGATGATGGCTTGTGATTACAGGTGTCTGCTGGGTACATCAAGAGATGGCCATGTGTCATTGTCAGCTACCAAATTGGATAGGAAACGTACACTAGCATTTACATGTCATCGCCTGTCTGGCCTCATGTGTTCAATATTTGTTGAAATAATAAGTTGAATTGTAATGTTGAAATTTTACCTTCTTAGCACTTTGATATATGTATATATAGATAACACATTGGACATCTTGTCCTGTATATTTGTACAAGATATTGTTTTGTTGATTTTCATCTCTTATCAGCTGTAAATGTACACTCCGCTGTACACATGGCGGAGTCCATTCTCAGAACCAGTTCATATGGCTGGACTTTTTTTTTCATGTTTTTTTCCACCTTGTAGTATGTGTTTATTGAATGACTATCATAAAATAATGACGTCATTTTATTGGCCCTATGATTGATTTTTATGAATTTGTCTCCAGGATGAAATGAAATGTTTTTGATGAGGATTTTTTATGGATTTTTGGCTTGAGATGTGGACATTAAGGAAGAAAATACATATTACAAAGGATGGAGATCCATGAAATAATGAATAACAGGATTGTATGGATGATGGAATGGAATATGTTTGATGTAAAATAATAAATTTGTACTGCATGGCATGATATCAATTACAGACTAGGAGTTGGCGTCTGTAAGACTGAAGGAATCTTCTAGGCATGTTGATTAGTTGTCAATGGCCAACATTTGTCCATTAATGGGCCCTGAGTAAAGTCTTATGGTGTCTGTGGACAGACAGGAATGTAATACTGACTGAGGTGTTGTGCTGGCGAAGGCATGTGCTTGCATGTCAGTCTCCTGGATTGTTGAGAATATAAATCACTGGTTACCCTGTATATGCTATATGCTCCAGTCAGTTGTGATCTCCCCTCATTGACTTGACCTCTACCTGAGATAACAGCTATACCTAGAAAGCCGCTTGTCAAACTCCAGTATCGCCTGGACTCTGATCTGTATATCTTACACAATTATCGCCAGTTTTGTCTATCTGTAACATCGAATCCAAGTAAATATTGCTAGCACTGTGTAAAAAACAAAACATTCATTATACTCATAATTACATTGCA